CTGCGCCGCTCGGGGCTCGGCGTGTGGCCGCGGAGCACAGCGGTGCCCCGGGACCCCGTCCCCACCTGACCCCTCCATACCGGGCGAGCCCCCCCCCGCGCGCCGCCAGGCCTGCGGCCCGGCCCGGCCCCGGAGTGCGGGCCGGAGGCTCCGCGCCCCCGCCGCGGGCTCGGACTCGGGTGTGCGCGGCGAGGAGCGGTTTTTAGGGTGCGGGGACTCCGCTCGGGGGTGGACGCGGGCCGAGGGTCGCCCCGGCGCGGGGCGCGGCTGCCGGCGGGAATTGCCGGGGGCAACCAGGACAGCGGAAGGCAGCGGGGTGCCGTGCCGGGCCCCGGGTCCCCACGGAGAACACGGACGTCGCTCCGCGGGGGCCACTGGCATTCACGTAACAGCAGAACCGGGGCAGGGGGGTGGTGGTTCTCATTTTGGGGATTATGGAAAATTGGAAGTAATTTGGCGTTGAAACCTAAGGCCTGTCTAGAGTTGTTTTCTCATCCTTGTCATGAAAGCTAATAAGGATTTTTTTTTAAATTTTTTTTTTTTACAGAAAGAGTTGATCCATGAAAGATGCACCCTAAAGTTTTCGAGGCATTAGAAATTAAGTGGGTAATCTCATGGATAGGAGGTACCTTCAAATTGGTGGCATAATTGTGGAGCCAGGCCTCAAGGAGGTTTCTTCAAGAGGCGTTTTTAACGTTTAAGGAAACTGGAAGGAAGTTGGCTGTTGGCCTTATCAAATGATGCAAATGTGACTTATCTGGCTGAGAACAGCGAATGTGTTGTGTTTATTTTGCCAATTAGCCTCTGGTTCAGCTTTGACTCCACTTTAATTTTATGCACTAGTCTTTTCTATCTTAACACACAGGCATAAAATATAAATTGGGTGGTGCTTGGAGTTTATTTCAGTACAGCATTTGATAAACATGCATCCTGCAAACTTTAACTGTGTGTAGTGGGTTGACCCTGGCTGGATGCTAGGCACCCACCAAAACTGATCTGTCATTCGCCAGCTCAGCTGGACAGGGAAGAGAAAATACAACAAAGGTTCACGAGTTGAGATAAGGGCCAGGGGAGACCACTCAAGAAATACCTAAGGGCAAACAGACCCAAATTTGGGATATTAATTTATTACCAACAAAATAAGAGCAGGATAATGAGAAGTAAAATAAATCTTAACATACACATTCCCCCCACCTCTTTCTTCTTCCCAAGCTCTACCTCCTTTTCCCCAGCAGGGAAGGGAGATGGGAGTGGGGCTTGTGATCAATTCATCACACATTTTTCCTCCCTCTGCTCAGGATGAGGAGTCCTTCCCCTTCTCCAGCATAGGGTCCTTCCTGCAGGAGACAGTGCTGGATTAACATCTCCAGCATGAGTTCATCCCACAGGCAACAGTTCTGCACAAAATGCTGCAAGGTGGGTTACACTGCACATGGGGTGCAGTCCTTCAGGCACAGCCTGCTTCAGTGTGGGTTCCCCAGAGCATCACAAGTCCTACCAGGGCGCCTGCTCCAGCGTGGGCTCCTCATGCCATGGGTCTGCAGGTCCCTGCCAGGAGCCTGTTCCAGCACAGGCCTCCCATGGACTCACAGCCTCCTCTGAGGCATCCGCCTGCTCCAGCTGGGGTGTCCTCCACAGGCTGCAGGGGAACCTTGGCTTTGGTGCCTGGAGCGCCTCCTGCCCCTCATTCTCCACTGACCTTGGTGTCAGAGTTGTTCCTCTCACAATTCTCACCCTGCTTTTCTCTGCCTGCAATTACACCTGCACAGAAAACTTTTTTTTTTTCCCCTTCTCAAATAAATTATCTCAGAGGTGTTCCCACCATTCCTGATGGGCTCAGCATTGGCCAGCAGTGGGTCCATCCTGGAGTTGGCATTGGCTCTGCTGGACATGGAGGAAGCTTCCAACAGCTTCTCACAGAAGCCATTCCTGTAGCACCCCTGCTACAAAGACCTACCTGCATAAGCCTAACAGACCATGATCCTGAGAACAGAATGGGAGCAATAATACTTCAAAAATTTATTTTATTTATTTCCATTAAGGTAATGGTAAAACTTTTGTAGACTCAGCCCAGACCTGGGTTTCAGGAAGGGGTCCTAAAATACTGACCTTCACAAGGTTTTCTGAGCTTGATCATACATGTGATATTAATGTAAAATAGTCTTTAGTAAATATTTTTGCCAGGATGGAGGAGGGTAAGGGAAAGAACAGAGAAAGGTGATGGTTAGTTCATAATCAACAGCAAGGTAACTCTAGTATAAATAAGTAAAAAATTGGAAAATTTATTTCCTTATCCTTATTTTTGAATTTAAGACTGTGAATTTCTTTGAAACAGTTTGGAACATGTTTCCTGTAGATATTGTGAAGCCTCTGGATTTGGAGATACTAAAAACCCAACTGGACACAGCCTTAAGCAACCTGCTGTAGGTGGCCCTGCTCTGAGCAGGAGAACTGGGGAAGACAATCTGCAGAAACACCTTCCAGCTTGAACGATTTCTAAGCCAGTTTTCCAACAAATGTGAAGTGCATAGAAAATTCCAGTGAACAGCACAATATGCTCTAAGGTCTTTGGTTCCAAGGATGTTTTATTCCATTTTTTGTTCACATAGGAAATGGAAATCCAGTGCAGGGCACATTGCCCTCAAAGATTCAGCATAGCCAGTTGTCACATTATTGCAGAAAACTATAATGCCATTAAAAGGCAAATGGCTGGCTGTTTTTCAGTCTTCTTTGCAAACTTATTTGCTAACTTGACTGGCTGGCCATTCATCCTGCCTGTATATAACTGTTTCACGTTTACCCCCTTGTTCTTCACCACTCAGGAGCAAGACACCAGCATATTTTGAATATTTTGTGTAATTTTTGTCTTGATGGAGCCATTACCTCAATGTTTTCCCAAGCACTCTGGTTTCCAATAGGCCACAGACACCCTGGTGTGATCAGAAACAGGGTAACTCCCATGGGTGCAGCTGCCAGGAAGGAAGCCGTGTTTGCAGCTGATACTCACAGCCCTTTCTGCTCCCACAGCCGACAGAGGTACCCAAGAGCAGAACACACTTGGAAACTGCAGATACCACAGGTGTGCGGGCACCGCTGTGGAACAACATAAGTTAACTTACCTGCAGAAATGCTTTTGTAACTTGCACTTTCTGGAACTCAGTAAGCAAAGGGTAAAACTACACTGTAAGCAATAGGATTTCTGACCTTCACTGGTGGTTAGGTTGTGTCAGATTTGGTATATAAGAGAGAGAATACAGCTTGTATATAAAAGTTTATAGCTCCTTTGTTCTCACTGAATAGAGCTCTTGCAGACCAACTCTAATTTTACTTGTGATCTACTGTTCCTTTGTATTTTTCCCTAGATTTTGGTGTCACTCAGAAGTAGGTACTGTGCTATATCTTTTTCCTCACAAAAGCAAATGAAGTCTGGCTTTTGCTCAGTGTCCTCATAAAGTCATACTTGAATGTAGCAGTCATCGAGTTAGTTCTGGAGATAACTGCTGCTAATTTCATACTTGGACATTTATTTCTCACAATGACTATTACAATGTTATGATCAGGTTCCAGCTTGGTAATCTTAAAAGGAGTTACTTTGTCGAGTCATGAAAAAATGGGTTACAGCTCCAAGTAAGTATGGCTGATGTTTTTATCCATCTTACTGATAATTTGCTTGTCAATAAATTATAAAAATTTGTAATGAGCCACTTTCAGTCACAGTTCCTTCCTTTTTATCTTGTGTGTTAATTAGATCCTTTTCCAGGTACTGGCAACATACTTAGCAAACACCATTGTGCTGAGTAACACCTCCAGATTTCTCAAGCTGTAGCTACTCTACTGCCAAGCCCCAGGTTATAGGAGAGTAACTTGAGTTTTGTCAGCTTTCTGGTGACTGGTTTGAAGGTCTTTCAGTAGACATGTGTTTGCTTCTTCATCTGTGAAATAGATGAGTTATTTTACCATGTTACCTGTTCATGTTTCAGTAACCATTTTTTGACCTTGACAAACCCCTCAGCTGGTGATGAGGGTTCATTGTGAGCTGGCTACGTCACTGTACAGTAAACATGAGCCTGCTGAAGTTATCTTTTACTGTTTTTCCTACGCAACCACAGAGATGGAGGTTGGGGAGGAAAGAAAGTGAAGGGGGATTGTTCTAAATTTCTCCCAGAATAGTTCTGTGTTAATATATTCTCAAGGAAATTCTGGAATATTTTTTCTGTCTTGTAGCTTCTATTTAAAACTTGTCTATAAAAAGGAAATACTGCAATTTTACCCAAGGATCTAATGTTCCATAATGTTCTCTTTTGATTGTTAGTAATGTTGCAAGTGCAGCAATATTTACCTGCAGTCATTGGACTAAAAAGGAAGGAGTAAGGTTACCAAGATTGCTCCTAGCAGTGGTATAAAGGTCTACTTCATGACTGTAGTAGCTGCTGACTTTCACACACAGTGTGTTCAGGACAGTTACACTTAAAAAGAATCCTTGTAAAAATATGTCCCAAAATGAAGGAAGTATGAGGGATAAGCAGTCTTCCTATTGATAGTTTAATCTGCAGGTCCAGATAACCCTGGAGACTTAAAATTGAGTGCAACAAAGGAGAAGCTGTCAGACCAAAGGTCTGTAAGACCTCATAAGGTGTTTCTGGTCACTAATCAGTAGGAAATGCCTAGTGAGAAGTAGAAGTACAGGGAAATGTATAGTTATGTGCTTTAAAATGCACTCCTGCCTGCCTTTGTCAGCAGAGGAGGTAGCTGGTTCATTTATAACAATAAATCTCAAAAGGCTTGAGCCACTTCAGGAAGGGTGATATCAGCCAGTGCCCATTTGTCTGAGTTGGGTAGTAAGCTGGCTGTCATATTAAAGTCAGTTCTTTTAAAATAATGGAGAAGAAAATATGAGATTTCTTTCATAAGGAATAAAAGGGTAGAAATGTAACTAGTACCAGTAAGTGTGGCTTAGGGAAAAATGATCTTGGCAGACACACCAAACTTCATCACTTGAGTAGGTGAGAAGCTTCAACACAACAAAACAGTGTAGATGCAGCAGACTTGGGTAAGGTGCTTCATACTACACATACTCTCCCTTACTTTCAATATCATGCATTATGTGGCTTAAAAGCTTATAGACTGAGAGTTGTAAAGAAATACATAACGTTGCAGAAATAACATAACAATTGGATTGTTCAAAGAGGTGGAACCTTAGTTATGGCCCAACACTTCCATCGTGGTCTAGAAGTCATCATAGAGTCATTCCTGTTTTTATTTGTGACTGTGATGAAGTTACTGGAATAAGTACATAGAGGTGATGAGGAAAAGATGATAATGAAGAAACATCACACAGATTGGGTTACTTTGTAAATTGAACCACTTAAATAAGTTATGTCTCATCTGTCCAAGCGCAGAAGTAAATGTCTAGGATTGATGAATGCAAATCATGTACCTAGAGGATAATTCTGAATCCTGGAAAGCAGAAAATTTAGAAAATATTAAAGGAGTGCAATCACTTCAAGACACCTCAAAAGAGCCTCATATATACATGTGGGACAAAAAGGGATGGTGCTGTTTGGGGACGCTCACAGTGGAGTAGGTTGTAGAAATAAGGTGAGTTTGTATCTGCTGGGTCATGTTTTTTAAATAGACCAAAAACTGGAGAAGCCACAAATAATTATAAAAGAATTTGGATGCTTAAAAAGTCTTTAGCTGTTTAATACCAAAAAGAACAAAAAAAAAAAGAGACATGAATCATATAGTACTTTCCCAGTTATAGGAATTCACTTCAGTCTAAAGAGAGACATGGATAGCTGGAGTTTAAACAAGATAGAAAAAAAAAAGACTTGGCTTCCTAAGTGATAAATGGTGCTGATCAACCACAAGCAAAACAATGGATGAGATGGGTCTTCCTCCCCTCAATGCCTTCACCTCCAGATTGGATGGCACTTCCTGGCATTTTTGCCAAGTCCTTTGGTTCACAAAGGAGTGACTGAAATGTAATGGCTTATGCCATAAAGAAGTTGATATTAGGCCATCTTTTACAATCCTCCCCTGCCCTTTCACAAGTGGAAGCAGGTAGAGGTATCTAGGAGAATATAGTTTCTTGGAGTCCTGTTTTTTAGTAGACTGATGTTTTCTAAGAATATTTTCAAATAATTTTTTTGCTCTGTAAAGACATGTCCAGGCCTAGATACTCTTAATTAGACAATAGATTTTCTTGTCCATTTTGTAGTCTTTGTAGCGCTGTTTAGAATTTCTCAAGAATTGTCCAGACATTAATTTGTGTTTGTAAGTTAAATTAATGTAATTATCCAATAAAACCTGTGAAGACAGTGAATTTTGTGGAGTGCTCTAGTGTACATGCTGAGGTGCTTGCTCTCAGACAGCAATGCCTGTTTCTCCCCTCTCTTTTTCATTTTCAGACATTATACAATTGATATTGCAAATATTGCCAAGCCTTTAAATAGGCTGACTGACACCCTATTCCTGGTTGGTTTTGCTGCTGGTTTGGGAAGGGATCTTTCTATGTCCACCACAAGCACATATTGCCATCACTGATCCTTCATTACCTCTTAGCAATATTTGTTCCTTCACAAAAAATGTCCCAGGCTAGGTGGTCTCAAGAGTTTCCATGCAGGACCAGTGAAGAATGGGCTGTGATCCACAGAAGGAAATGTGACAGGAATTATTGAATCACAGTCTTTGAGCCTAAAATGGCTCTGAAAAGAAGGTTCCTTAACTCCTCTAACCTGGGGCAAAAATCATGGTGAGAAAAAGAGTTGCTGGAACCTCCCAAAGCAGCTCTGGTTGTTGTCTGCTGTGACAGAGGCATGTGGCTGTGCACAAAATCTCAGTGGATGAAGCAGAGCCCCTTGAAATTCCAAAAGTGAAGACAGGCCAAGTTATGTGGAATTCACAGAGTGCTTTATCCATGGTATGAAGTGTTGCACCATGTTATGGCCAAGGAACCAACATCATAGAATTAAGCAAAATCACAGCATAGGACAGACACAGTCAGACCAAAAGAACATGAGGTGCTCTAAGCTGTGAAGTGATGTTATGAGGAGTCAGGGCTTGGCGTTCATGCTGGACAGGGGAATGAGAGGCCTACATGATTCATGTTTCTGGTGGGTGGGAGATCCCAAGACTATAAAACTGCCCAGGTCTCAATCAGTGTATGTGATCCATAGGCACCAAGTGACAAATGCTTAATAACCTTGCATTCCTCTCCAAAGGCACTGTTCACAGAATCACAGAATGCTTTGAGTTGGAAGAGCTGTTAATGATCATCTAGCTGCAGCCCCCTGCCACGGGCAGGGAACCCTTCACTACACCAGGTTGTTTGTCATTATTGGTGGCAAGCTGCTCACAAGTAGAGGCTTCTCTGTCCTCCAGCCTTCTCTGTTAGTTATCTGCCTCATTGAAGGCACACAACTCCA